TGGGAATACACATTACAGTAAATATTACGAAATGCTTCAAGCAGTGACAGAGTAGTGTTACCAAACATTGGAATAAACTACTGTTGAAACACTCGGTATTGCCTTACACTAATTGTTCTATGACGTCAACACCAAGTACCGGAAGTGACTCGGTGCCCTTATTGTGTTAGGTTTTTAGGCAACTTTTCAGTGACCCACCTTACTGTATAATAATTGTTTAAATATTCTGAATAGTATTTTATTAGATATAAATTAAAAGTTTGTGAGGATGTAACAACCTTCATAAAGTACTATCACAGTAACTCCTATGTCCATGATGACAGCCCAGCTCTTACAGTACCACTATACCGTCAGTATAAATATTCATAGCATAGAATGGCTTATCACCAAGTCCCTCCCTTAATGTTTAACACCCGATCATTATTTCCTACCATACTTGACGTTTATCACCCAATTATCTCCATCTAATACTCTTAGCCTTCCCTCAGCACTTCATTTTATTCTAATTTCTTTGAGAACCAGAGACTACATTCCTGGCCTAACCCATGAAGCAAGTCGTTGCCACAGATCATTGACAAGGTCATCAGTCTGCACGGGACACACTCCATCTTGGGTCGGGCGGTGATGGTGCACAAGGGTGAGGATGACCTGGGCAAGGGAGACAACCCTGACTCTCTCATCACAGGAAACGCTGGGCCCAGGCTGGCCTGCTGCACCATCTTCATCGCCCCCTAGACACCCTGCACTCATGACGTTTGTTGACACTAAACCTGCTGCGTCGTCCAATATTAGTCTTCAAATTCTCAAATAAGCGGATCAATTTTGATGTCGGTGTACACGACATATTTGATTTTATACAATTTCCTGTTTTTATATTATTGTAAATTATATTTTTTCTCCCAATACTACTACTACCAGCAAGTCATCAGTCAATATATTTCTAAACAAGCGAATTCTTAATAAAACCAGAAACATAAATAGATATAGTCAATCACTAGAGTGTGCTCAATGTCAGGCTATCGGTCTATCCTTGATGGTTGAAAGAGCTACGTAGTGATACATTAAAACATGAAACTGGATTTGATCATGTAGTAAGGCTTGTAGTTAATGACGTAATGTTGGTGAAGATGTTAGCTCATTCTTGGAACAACCTTATACAAACTGTTTATGGAGTTATTTTCAGTTTTTTGTTGATGGCTTGAGATTAATTATTACGATGGCGGATGGTTATTATGGCAGTTTATGTTACTCGACACACAGCTTTGGCATTTACATATATAATCGTTATAAGAATATGTACAGGTGTAAGAGAATATTTTTACTTTGTTATCTTAAATGTTGATTATCATGAACATTATTTGTACCTGTAGTGTGTGTTACCTTGAAACTATGTTGCATCTGATACGTTTGACTGATAAACTGTTGAGAAATTGTTGCCTTTATTCTTGTCTGAGTTGAGTGTTTCAGGCCAATGAGATGAAGATTACAAATATGCTTAAATCCAGACTTGACCAACACGAGTACATTCAAAAGCCCGTACATGCTCCAGTGCTTGTCAATAGTATGCAACAGACCTGATCGACCGCTTGACCTGACCGTCTAGTGAGCTGGCGGTGGCCGGTAATAAGCCACAGGAAAAAGTCACAGAAAAAAGTCACAATTTCAAGGAAAGTCACAGGAATAAAAAGTCACAATTAATTCATGGTGGCCGATAATAAAGGTTAGGTTAGGTTAGGTTTGGTTTGGTTAGGTTAGGTTACTGAAACGATTAACATATTAACCAAAAAATGTGAGAATCTGATAGTTAACTTTTCTTTTTTCTGTGACTTTTTTCGTGACTTTTACTCCTGGACTTCTAATTTGGACTTGATTTGGCAGGTGGTAAATATGATAAAGTAGACTTTTTAGTCATACAATGTACTTAAAGACTACTTAACCTAAACCTGAGAACTATCCTTAAACATAACTTTTACCCCCCAAAAAAAAATCGTTTAGCCTAACCTTAACGTGACCCAAATCTAATTAACCGAATTCAAACTTAACCCAAATTCAACCTAATAATACTTACACCAACCTAACCCAATGTATTTTCCTGTCAGTATTTCCCCAGATTTTCCCTCGGGACAAATTTGTATACTGCAGCTGCCACTTTCCACCGTTACTTTCGAATAAATTATAAGGTGTAATCGTCTTACATATTCGTACAGTATATGTAAACGGATTTATATTAACAAGTGTTATATAACATTTCTAAAAGACTTGGTTGGTCTTGTATCATTTACATATTTTTCTTAGCAATTTAAAAACGATAAAGAATAAGAGAATACAATGAGCACAATAGTTGTGAATCTACACGGAACAAAACCTTTGGCTTCACTTTGGAAAACCCTTCAGTCGGTTGTTTTAGGGCTTATTGGGGGTGTAGGATGTACTGTACCTTGACTTTCAGCAAATAGAGACAAAAAGCCAACACCCACACACACACACCCCTCTCGTCTCGTGGTCATTGATATTCATACACCGTGCCTCAATATATCGCTGGACACAAGTTTACCAACCAACACATATAAACTGATGAACAAGAAACAGGTGGAACTTACATACTTCGCTTTGTGTTAAAACATAAAATAGAGATCACCACCTTGCAGTCTGGTGTGTTGTACGTTCCCCAACTATATAAAAAGAGTCACAAGTGCACCAAGTTTGAAAAAATACTGTAGCGGGCAGTCGACTTCCCCTGGTTTCTCTCACCCGTCTAGTTTCCCGCCAACCTCTCCGCCAATCACAGATCTCGTTGAGTAACGCTAACGTCCCTACATTAAAAGCAATAAAGTGCCTATCTCAGCATGTCTGATAATATTAAGAGAAAATATTGAAAACTATATTACATTCAAATTAAAACTGAGAAAGTGTAGTTTGTTAATATTACATACTAAGTGGCAGGTATGAAGAGGATAGGTGATACGTAGCGATTAAGTAACAATTAATTAAAAAATAAGTAAAGATATAACAAAGTAAGTTTGTTAACACGCCACTACCTTTATGAACCACTTAACACACTATTGTTCAGGTAATAAAACAGGCAACACTTGATAAGATCTTCATTTAATAACCACAAATCTATCACAAGCATGAGAGAATAAATAATGTACATGACTGTGTGTGTGTGGAGGAGGAGTGAGGAGGTGTGTGTGTGTGAGTGAGTGTGTGTGTGAGGAGTGTGTGTGTGTGTGTGTGTGTGTGAGTGAGGGAGTGAGTGAGTGTGTGTGTGTGAGTGTTTGAGTGAGTGGTGTGAGGTATGTGTGTGTGTGTGTGTGTGTGTGTGAGAGGAGTGAGTGAGTGAGTGTGTGTGTGTATGTGTGTTTTCTGGTACTTTACATGGCATCTGTAATGTGCTTGAATCTAACACCAGTGTTTCCTTTTTATGGTTTAAATATAAATATGTATGTATGTATAGTATGTATGTATTGTAGTAAAAATCAACATTACTACAATAAAATCATCTACACAGTTGTATGATGTTACTGTAGTGTCAAAATATATCTATGTACCCAGATGTTTATATTCATTACTACAACCAGTTTATCAACACATGTACAAAAAAAAAGCAATGGTTTAACACGGCACACCTGTTTACACCTTCCACTACCCTCATACATAAAGTTAAAAGTACATTAAACAGGCAAAAATTTTGTATCAATATATTCCAATGTTTTGTCAGGGTTGAGAGAGAGGTATTATCACTATGATGCCACAAGTATCCTCAGTGAGAAACTCTAAACATCCGGTCACTACAACCTACTGTTTACGTGTCTTCTACCAAACTAATCTTATACTTCTCACAACCCAGGAACAATGAAAGAAATAAAATTTGTTGACGAGAAAGTACCATAACCTCATAGAAGTAGTCACAAATTCTACTGTAGATATAAATTCATAAATAGTATTCACAGAAGTAAATAATCACAAATTCTACGGTAGCAGTAAACTCATGTACTACTCCTAGACAAAAAGACATTATAAATCTAACACGAATCTTCAGTGTAAACAATAAAGTTATCCACACTACAGACAAAAACATACAACACAGGAATGAGATCAGAAATCCCAAAAATTTAAACTTTACAGCTCTTTTAACTCTAATAGATTTGAATATTATCCGATATATCAGATATTATGTACTATGTGGTTTTACGTAGATTTATTTTCAATTACGAAACTATATACAGGCATGAAGCGAAGTATTACTTGTATAAACTATGGTGATATTACATGTACGTCAGAAACTGTGTTATCCTGTCCAGAGGGTACACAAGGATGGAGGCGCAATTGTTCAGAACTCTAGATTTCAGAACATTTCCTATTTTGTAATTATTGTTCTTTTTTTTTGGAGGGGTCACTTAACTATCATCTGAGTACTTAAACTTAATAGGCACTTTGAAACCAAAACAAGCGAGTAGTCCGCCGTATTATTGCAGATAGTATACTAACCACTTTGTAACTGGTGTCCCCTGTCAGCTGAATAAAATCGTCAGGCGTAATATTCTTCAGGTGTTTCCTAACTAATATTTACAAAAAATTTCCCAAACAAAATTATGAGAGAACGTTCTACTTCGCGGCTTTTCCTCTCAAACGTTTAACTTGACGTAACCTCAAAAGGAGGGGAGGTGGAGGATACGAGGCATATGTATACAGTAGATCTACTACAGTGCAGTTTCAAAGCTATTTTGGTCGCCCACTTTGTACTATAAGGTAAGTGAGAGAATTAGACGTGTTCTTACAACGCCAGTAAATTAAAATGTAATATCTTTTGAGAATCTGGGCCGTGAATTTGGCTTATTAACCTACCCGGAACATTCAGAACTTGAGAACAAGTCATCCGCGTTCGCCATTCAGTATCCAGATTCTCTTAGGATCATACGTTACTACCTGTACTTTAGCTGAAGCTAAGAACGCATCTAAAGGCCCCACTAAGGGTATAATGCAAAATGGCGTTTAAATTGTACTGAGATTCATTATTTGCTTTTATCCCTGTTCAGTTTATGGAGGCTGACCCAAACTTAGGGTGCCTATGTCAATGTGTCAGTCATCGCCACCTAGGTATAACTACTAGCGGTTTCATCTACCAATTCTTATATACAAAGTAGATTCAGGTGTGAGTTGTTTTTATAATGACCAGACTTGGTCAACACAGGTGCAGGTTCAGAAATATTTTGGAGTCAGTGCATGCCTAGTACTTGCCAACGGTGAGTAAGTGACGTGTCCGCTCGCCCAAGTGGCTAACAGACATATCAGTGACAAGAGAGGATAAAGCTGTCATTCAACAAGGAAAATAAGATCAACAATATGACTTGTCTACCAAGGTTCCGTCTACTTATAGATTCATCTACATCGAAGATTCAGGGGTGAGGTAGATGGTGCAACAGGCCAGTCTACCCCCAGCGTCTCCAGTTTTCAGAGACGCCTCTGTGCCCTCGAGACCAAGGTCGTCCTGCCCCGCGTGAACAACAATGGACCGACCCACAATGGACTTCTCCCCCCACAGGCTGATGACGTGGTCCTTGATCTGTTAACATAAATAGTAGAGATTGTTGACCATAATAATAATAATAATACTAATAATAATAATAACTCGGTGGAAAATCCGGAGTTCCTCGTTTTTTTTAAGTCAGCCTATGTCCGTGACTACATCTAGACCCACTGGACTATCATCAACTGGGATGTACTGTATGTGTATAATCCATACCAAATTCCAGCTCTTTACCTTCAAAACTGAAGCTTGAGTTGACGAGAAACTAACATTACTGGGCTTTAAAATAGTCCTGGACAAGACAAATAAGAACAATGAGGGAAATCCTACACTCGCCACCGACCTCCTTCCCCCGTCATGATATTAGATAAATTCTCAGACAAACAAGCACAGGATACTCACATCGATGAAGGCAATGGTCTGGTTTGAGCCATCATTCTCGCTCAGTATGTTGCCCAGATCTCCAACATGGCGGAGTGTAGCGTGGTTGTTGTTATCGGGGTTGTAGTGGCCCTTGACGTCCCGACAACCGTCACCGGCTCCGGCTGACACCCCCAGGCGTGGATGTGGAACCCGTGAAGTCCTTCTGACAGGTCTGATGGGAGGGAATTAAACTTGGGTTGGTGATGTTGCCCCACAAACACACACTCACAAAACGTAGGGTACACATATTAGTTGAGAAAGTACATTCCTCTTCCCATTAGAAATACAACCCTTAAAATACCACCCCTTCCCGTTTACCCCCTTTGCGAAACCACCTACCTGTATAGTCAGTCCTTAACAATGTAGAACAACTGTCACTTACGGGAGATATTGCCAGTGATGTGGACGAAGGTACCAGGCCGGCGCTGGTTGAGGGTGAGATAGCCCGACACACCTTCTCCCAAGTCGGTGGCCGATAGCAAACACCCAGCAGTGCGACTCTGTAAAGGAACACACGATATTTTCCACTGTTAATTAAGATAAAGAAGAACAGGTACGGGTGACGGTATATGCACAGGGACAGCTACAAGTATAGGTACAGATACAAATACATGCAAATTTCAAATATAGTGCTCAGGATCTTTCAGAAGTTATCATTTATTAACAAATTGTAACATTCAGTGAATTGGTAATTGAGTGAAAAACAAAAAACAAATAAGTAAGAATTAAATAAAAAATAAGAAAGTAACAAGTAAAAAAAAATTAGTAAAAAATAACCAAGTAGCTAAGTAATGAAAATAAGCAAGAATAAAAAACAACAATAAAACAGAAATAAGTAAATAGTCAAATAATTCAGTACACACACCTGGGAAGAAAGAGCTTCATTCATACGATCATGCGAGTACCATACTGCTAATCCGGCCACCAGAGCTTTTATACCCAGCAACACCACAGATGCCGCGACGTATGCCACACATTTGCCCATTTCCGCTGTTTTTACTGCTGCTGCTCCTAGGGTTACTTGTTACTGCTTCTGCTGTTACCTTGATGTTACCTGTTAGAATATAAAATTGTGAGTTTAATAAATGAGTAATATTAAGTTAATTTAAGTTAGGTGTTAAGTTCCGATAAGTTAAAGTGATGAGATTAAGTTATATAAGTACTTATGTAATGATCTTACATTATATTCCCAATTGAATAAAATCAATTAATTTGACAATATTACGTGATAGAAATATTAAATAATTTAGACACGCGGTGGTGTGTGATTATTTCCAACAATGACATCATAAGCAGAGGACGACGGGTTTCCCCCAGCGTCCCTCCAGCGAATTCTTGTGACGTCACCACCCCTGACGTCACTACCAATTAGAAAGTAGGAATCATGGAGGAAATTGACCAATCAGAGTGAACCACTTTCGGGGAGGGGCACTGTTGAAAGTGATGGTTTGGGAAATATAAGTCAATCCAAAAGCGTATAGCGGTGGGGAAAAATAGTTTCTATTTTCTTTAATTATTTTTTGGTGTTCGTGAGCAGATCCAGATTCTGGTTGGGTAAGACATCATCTAAATTTGACAAACGATAAGTGAACCTTCTTGGTGTTTTTATTCAGGCCAAAAGAAGAAGAAGAACACTGCTTAGTTTACCGAGAGAGAGAGAGAGAGAGAGAGAGAGAGAGAGAGAGAGCCCTACATTATTGATTATACAAAGTATAGAAGTATAAGGCAAGCCATACTTGCCAGGCTACTGTGTGGCTTGACACTGTGTCCGAAACCTTACGTTAATGTGTCCACCAAGTGTCCGAAAAGTCAATATAATCCATTTTCGTATTCTAACTTCCCTTAACTGTGCCGATGCCTATTGTACCTTTACTGGTGAAAAGAAGTTATTTCTATGTAAATATTTGAGTATTTATAAATTTCAAATACGGCGAGCTTTTAAATACTGTTACTGCTGAACTAAAGAGTTTTTCCCATACCATAATACGAGTCAGCAGTGTTTGTGTCGTGAAAATCCTCCATTGTCGACGCTCACTTGTTTAACAGTCGGGTTTATATTTTTTACTGGTTTATATGACTATTCTGCAATCTACGACAACTTCTACTGCTTTCCTGTCACCTAAACATAAAGGAAATGCTTACTAAACCACATTCCTTATTTCAAACTTGCACCGTATACTAGCGGCTATTGAACGAATTAACAAACGAGAACAGCCACGAATGAAGCCGAAATTGTACATATATCTATCTATATTCTTAAAAAATAAAATAAAATTAATAAAATTCTTAGTATTAGTGTTTCTTTCCATTCCATAATCTAGTTAATGTTTCCATCTCATGAATTCAGTATATACTCAAGCCTCACCACGACACCAATTACCCTCAACTGTAAATTAATTGGTACCGCCCAGCTGTTCGTCAGTCTGAGTAACAGGTATTGATTCCAACACTTAGACGGCAGACAGTAACTAAACACTACCAACGTATCCTTAAAGCGTTTACGTGGGTATATGTGTGTGTGTGTGTGTGTGTACCATCCCAGACATTTTAGTTCAGTTACAATTACGTTAGTTCGGGATGGGTTAGGTTAGGCTAAGATTGATGATACACTATAGTGAAGGTTATATTATGTCACGCCAGGTAAAGTTATATAAGATTAGGTCATGTTAAAATTGGATTAGGAAAAGTCAGATTAAGATTAGTTTAAGCTAGTTTGGTTCAGGTTACATTATGTTCGGTGCAGGTTACGTTTAGATTAGCTTGTCAGATTACATTAGGGTAGAGTAGAGTAAGCTAGGGTCAGGTTAAGTTAACATTGTAGTTAATCTAAGTTAAATTCGAAATGAATTACAGTAATTTAAGTATACATATATTTTACACGTAATTGTCACATTTGGAGTAAAGATATGTGAGAGAGAATATATATATATATATATATATATATATATATATATATATATAGAGAGAGAGATGAACCCCCCATCTACCAACACTGCACACCAATTTCATAAAACACACAATGCAGGCTTCCCTCTGTATGCACCCCGACAAGTGAGGTAAAATTAATAGACACCCGCCAATACACACCAGTAAAATAAAATAAAAACTTTTTGGGGTTAAGAAAGTGTCTTGATCGTCTCCGACATAACTTCAAAGGCGATTTCTAGAAGCCAGTGACATGAAAGTTACCAGCTGTAGGTTATTGTGGTGATACAATCCCACAGGTTCTGAAACCCAGGGCACGAGCAGTAGGTATATTAACAAGTGTACAAGACCGGGCTGGAAGCCAACCGATACAGGAGCGACATTAATAGAGACCCTGACCGTAGGCCGAGGCCGATCTGAGGGAACTAGCTAGCCAGGCAAGGAGAGCTGCCAGACACACAAGGACAATAAATGAGGTCTTCTAATTACTCGAACTAGCGTACAAGACATATTAAAAACGGGGACACATAGTAAAATGAACATAGGCACAGACATAAGCACAGACACTGACATGCTATAACAATAAGAATAATGACATGAATAAATGGTACAATGAACAGTAATAAGAGTCCTGGCATCAGGCAGTTACATATCTCTGGTATGCAATAATCTATACACCTCCTCCCCCCTACGCCTCGAGTGCACTCGAGCTACGACTCTTTTCATGAGTCGGGAGCCACGAGGACAATGGAGATCAACTGACGACCTTCGTTCCTGGCTCCGCGGCGTACAGGGAACGATACAGCCCGCCACCAGCTTACGTCACTAAGGATATACGCCTCTCGCCACCACACGACCACCGGGGAAAGGACTGTACCAACGGCACACGCCCATGACCGACCCCAACCTTGTCCCAGCCGTAAAAGTGACGCCGGGTCCTTGATTCCAACGACGGCCGACGGCCAAGGGAAGGGGCGGCTGAACGCCACAGTGGCTGTCACTTCTATCCGGGCAGCCTCACGGCGTCACACTGCCCGCCTTGATCCGCCATTCATCTAACAAGAAGGACTGGGGTGGGCAGGCACAACAAGTACGAAGGGGGCATACATACAACACCTGGGCAGGAGAGCCGGTAGGGGCAATCACGGAGTTCCAGTAGGCCCCCCTCGGTCCAGGTTCCCGCCGGTGCTGTCTTTGAGGAAGAGGATTTACGGACTTTACCGCTGCCTCGGCGTGGGCCATTCGCTCAAGGGTAACGAGGGAGGTGACGATGTGATGGACGCCCCAGCGCCGCCAAGCTCTTGAACTCGAAGGCTGAAATGCCAACTGTCGGTTCGAGGCGAGAGCAACTCATTCTCCCGGAAGAAGCAAACAAAACATCCGATGACCCTGGAAGAGGTGGTGTCCGACCACAGGAACTACTTCACACACCAGAGAGTTTCTGCCATCACCCAGGAAAGACCTTCCCGCCACATTAAAGAAGTCGGCGGACACGTGACTCAAAGGCCGCTGGGAGGTCAAGCACAGGCACGTCTTGTTGCTGGCTGGGCTGAGCGCTTGCAAGGCTCAACAGGCCTCAACCAGCATTTTACATATCGCGCCACAATGCCAGAAGCGGATATCGACGGGCTCTGCGCCTGGTGGCTTCAACCCGTGGCTGCCAGGAGGCGGATAAGGTGCGCCGCGCTGAGGCAGCCGGAAACGACGATCCTGGGGCCGCATAACACCAGCTCTCCGGCCCGTAATGAGGCTATCCCTCAGCTTCCAGAAGGAGGGTGGAGGCGTGAAGTTGCAGCGCGTTGGTGGGGAATCCAGCGGAGACTTATCGAGAGTTGGACGATGCGGGTCTTGAGCGCGGCGATGCAAAGCTCTGGAGAGTCCTATCGTCTTCGATGAGGGAGGTCGCTGTCGCCTTTCAGCAAGAGAAGTGGCTGTGTGTGTCACTAAAGACCGAACGTGAGCAGCGGCCGTGGTACAGTCGACTTCATCTTCAGGTGTGGGCACTCAACAGGGCTCGGGAGAGGGCGTCTGGTATGCTACAGAAGCTTCGGCCAGCCACACAGCTGTAAAGACGCAGGGCGGTCTTCTTGAGACGTTGAGGCGAGGATTTTCGATGGCGTCCAACGTAGTGCGATTAAGAATGGGTATGAGCGGGCGATAACTGTCATGAGGGTGAAATGCCCAGCGCCGAACAGGTAAGGCTAAGCACTTGGCCATAACCCAGGCGACTGCCAGCATCTCAGTTCAATGGCTGGCGTATCTGGTCCTGTCCAAAACCTGGAGCCACACTGAACTAAGCGCAGTCTACCCTGGCCGTGGTTCAGCGAGGCATATCCGAGGCCTTGATAGGAAGGCGTCGGTCTGGAGGACCACTGGTAAGGACGGGTCGAAGGGTGCCAGGACTGGTGGTGACAGCAACGCCTTCAAATGATTCTAACGAGGTCGGTCAGGAGTCCAGAGGAAAGAGCGCTTGGGGGCATGAGGGGCGTAGAGGTTGGGCTGATGTGGCGATTTTAGGGGAGAGTCGGCCAGTTGATTTACCAGGCCCATAAATGAGCGAAGGTCGGTCAGGTTCGCTGGAGCAGGGAAGTCCCTTATGCACCTTCTCCCCATCAGCTGAGATCCTCTAAGATGTTGTGTTTGAAAAAGTGGCGACCACCAAATTATTCCTTGTTCAGGGTGATACCATGGGCACGACATCTTGTGAGCACCGGATAAAACCCGGTTCAAGTGGGCCGGAAGATCTATCGTCGAAGAGCAGGATGTCATCTACGACCTTCACGCAGTTGGTGACACCCTGCAGAGCCATATCCCCACGGAGGCAGTACATCCCGCAGCGCGCCCATGGGTCCGCGGCAGTGCGGGAAGCGGCCTGAGGCGCATGGAAATGGCGAGGCTATCCTTCCGCAGGTCGACTTGCCAGTACCACGTAGTGCATCCGCCGTGGCAAAGAATTTTGCAGACGGGGTGACGCTCCGCGGACTGCTTGGATGGGCGAGGGCGATGGATGGGCGGACGGGAGACCTGCGAAGTTGAGATCGGGCGAAATCACCGGCGCACCGCTGGTGTGGATGCACTATGAAGTGGCACCACAGAGGCCCTCACCGGCGTGTTCGATGATCCCCTGCC